TAATATATCACAAAATAATGACATGATATCGCAACATATGATTTTTGTCCATTTTGTGGTTATTCCTATTTTCCATTCCTTTCTGGGACAATTGAAATGTGAGGGTTATTTTAGAAAATTCCCCCTTTTGTTAGATTTACCTTTAAAAAGGTAGGCGAACATATCCAAAATATTGACCATGTTTCAGAAATAGCAGACAAAAGAGGTGCTTGGTGATACTTTTCCACAAGCGCATTCCTACAGGGTACCTTCATATAAAGAGAGAGGCATGAAATTTCCAATGAGAAATGTAAAGCTAAATTCAAATTACAAAATTACATACAACCCTACATAGATATCAACATTACAACGTACTGTCCGTTCGACCATTTCGTTGCAAGAAGAAGAAACGTCAACAACAACGACAACAGCATTTGTGTAGCAGCAGCAGCAAAAATATCACCTCAATGTAAAAACATTGTAAAATGAAATACTCATTGCGCATCACATTCACACACACACACACACACACACAGCAACATCAGTCAATCTCTCCTTCCTCAATGTTTGTTGTTCATTGTTGCTGCTGTTGTTGTTGCTGCTGTTATCATTCACAGCTCTCGTCGACCTCTGTTATGAAACATGGCACAAAAGGAGGAAGGGAAAATTAATAATGGAAATCCATGAGAATCAATGATTCAAAACGGGTGCTCCCCCAGAAACAATGAGAGCAAGTGTGAGAGAATTTACAAGGAGATTGTACTTTTGTTTTGCATTGACATGGGAGGAAAGAGACAGAGCACCAATAATTTTGCATAAGTGAATGTAAAAATGTGGGAGCATAAGATATGGTATTTTATGTGGGTTGAAGCTCCCTCTCTCTCTGTCTCTGTGTGTTTGGCTCTCATTATTAATTTCTCATTCGCGCTCCCATTTGTAAATACACACATTACGATTTCGCCACACTTTGTGTTGTTTGTTACACATTATTCAAAAAGCATGTGAATGTAAATAACAGTCGTTGCGGCAGCAGCAGAAAAACAGCTTTCAACAGTCCAACAACAACAACAAACTGCCGCTTTACACTCTGATATTCAATAATAGCGAACAACAGCAACAACAAAAAGCAATTTTGTGAAACAAGGAAACACCAAACTCTGACAAGATAACCGTCAGTTAGCAATAGCAAAAAAATAAAAAAAAAAACAACAATCACCTCAAGTCATCATCATCATCACCGCCGTCACCAGCAACAACAACAACAACATCATTACAAACTATGAGCAATAAACGAATGTACAAACGAACGAAAAGTCAGTCGTTCGTTCGTCTAGTGAAGGCAGCCGCAAAAGCCCCCCAAAACAATAACAAACACAATATGGATAGAGTAGAGTAGTACATATTGTAGTAGTAAAACGAAAGCCAAACTAGTTGTCATGTGCACGAGTACTACTTACGTAGTGAGTAGGCAATAGGGTTGCCAAATATTCAGTGGGAATTCCGTTTTCAGGGTCAGCGGAGATTAGAGGACGATTAGAGCAATTATCATGGAATGTTTTGAAGGACACATTCAGTGGAGGGGAGGGTTATGAAGGGGCTTTTACCAAACTTTAAGTACACTCGACATTAATCGAAAAATGTTTCGCAATAAATCGGGAATGCATTAATGCTATGATATATCTATGTATAAAAGTGACTTTCCTTCATATAGCCACTAAAAAGTATCGATTATGCGTTGTTGGATGCGTAGGACTTCCTTAAATTCTATTTGCGAACATAAATTTAACGCCAGTAGATTAAAAATTATTTTTTAAACCAACCACCTCCTGGAAGAGCTTTTGGCAACAGATATCACTTTTATACAGTCCAGAAGGGTTAATGTTAAAAAAAAACAGTTGTTTTAACATATGTTCTGTTCCAGAACTGCAAGAGTGTTACACTTTTTCTTACGACATCTGATTTTTTCCTTTTTAATAACGAAAAAATTGCAGAGCTAGTAAAGGGTGTTTCTCTAAGAGTTTCCTGATTTGAAATTTAAATAAACAAGTCAAATAGTATCAGTCGGTTCTGCCGACAGATTAATACCCCCAGCCTTGAGTTATGATTATTCACACTGTTGACCCTTTATGGGGGAGGTTCAGAAGCAGGCCAGTTCTTATCTGACCCAAGACTGACCAAAATATTACAACGTGCCAAATTTCCTACTTCCTATAATTTATATAAGATATTTGCACATTTTTGGAAAATATGGAAATATACGTGAGGTAACAGATATAGCGGACTGAAATATTCCATTTTCATACTTCATCTAGCACAGATAAAAATATTGGTATGTGCAACATTTGAAGGAAATCCAACATTCATATCCAATTTTATGCGAAGTCATAAGTTTCGATAAATGACATATTGATATCAGATTTCTGGATAATATTTAGATATAGCAAGTTGCAAAGAGTTATGACAGATATAAATATTGGAAATTGTGACCCTTTGTGGGTGAGGTACCAGAAGTTGTTGACAGATATATATCATTTTCATAACAGATCTTGCGTTCGCAAAATATTAGGATGTGTGAAATTTGAAGAGAGTTGGGTGCTTATCTCACTTTCTTTGAGTGTTTTGTTGTGGGTGTAATACCAGAAGAAATGGTCCGATCTGTACCATCTTTAAAGAGATTTTTGTGTTGATGGAAATATTGAAATGTGCCAAGTCTGAATGGAATCGGATATTAATTTCGATGTTTAATGAGGTTCATGGATACTCAAAAATTTTACCCTCTGTGGTGGAGGTATCAGAAGGAGTGGACTGATATATCACATCTTCACACCAGACCATGGGTTAATAAAAATATTGTGATGTGTGTTATTTGAAGAGAACCAGATGCTTATTTCGGATTTTATGATCGTTGTGGGTATTCAAAACTTCGACCCATTGTGGGAGAGTTACCAGAAGGAATGTTCCGACCTCCAACATCTTTATAACAAATCTTGTGTTGATGGAAATATTGAGATGTGCCAAGTCTGAATGGAATCGGATGTTAATTTTGGTTTTTTGTGAGCTTCATAGACATTCAAAATCTTGACCCTTTTTTGGAGAGGTACCAGAAGGAGTGGACCTATATATTCCATTTTCATACCATGCCCTTGGCTTAATAGAAATATTGTAATGTGTGTTTTTCGAAGGTAATCAGATTCTTACATCACATTTTATTAAAGTTATAATTATTCCAAATGTTTATCCTTTGTGGGGGAGGTACTTGATTAAGTGGACTGATATTGTAAATTTTCCCACCGGACTTAGCACTGATGCAAATATTAGGATTTGCAAAGTTGGAGCAAAATCTAATTACCCTTTCTCTTTCGGTGCAGTATATTATTTTGTTTGAAAATATTGACATTTTGTGGTCCTATATTGCCCATCTCCGAACTCGATTTAAGTTTGACAATAATATTACGATGTACAAAGTTTGGACCAAATCGGATACTCCCTTCGAGGCTTATCGTGCGCACCAGCCAGCTAGACAAACGGACGGACATCGCTAGATCGTCTCCAAATGTCCTGAAACAGAATTGGTCCAAAGATACCTAGGGTCTAAAACCGCTATTTCGATAAGGCACGTTTTGGCCGTATCAAATGATATATATCCCCTCCCTAGTCATATGGCTGAGGGTATAAAAATGTCTCCGTAAAATTTTGTGAAAATCGATTCAAAATTGGATATGCCTCCCATATTTTAGTTCCCCCTGAAGCCAAATTATAACTGCTCTAAAGCCAAATGTTGATAGGTGGCATGATCTACTTCACTTCACTAATTTTGTTACTAAATATGTATAGTTCTACTAAATATGTATCATATAGTCGGCCCCCCCGACTTTTGACTTTTCCTTACTGGGGTTTCAAATAAAATTTTCTTTCATATCTGAAATATTTACGTACGACGAGTGGCATATTTTACAAAAGTTATAAATAATCGTTGATTTTCGGTGTTCCTAGGCACACAAAACATATATATGGAACATCTTAGGAAGACGAATAACGTTTTATTTTAAGCCCCAGAATAACCGGCTGAAAAACCGGTAGTACATCTTTTTAATTTCCCTCTGGATAGGAGGGGAAAAATGAATTGCTACTTGTCTGCATCAGGCTAATGTAGAAATGGATGATTCCACGATTCAACTTCTTTAATATTTTTAGTTTTAAAATCTGAAGGTGGGAATAAGTCATCGGCTGGCTTCTTCGTAGAGAAACAAAGGAGTTTTAGGTTAACTTAGTTCGATTTTGGCCCTAGGGTCCTTTGTTCATTTCCGAAGAAGCCAGCCGATGACTTAAGCCAGTCAAATAAGGGCTTTATATATTGCCACCCTAATACTTTTCAAATAATAAAAAAAAACACATTTATAACATAGTAGAATTGTTTACAATTTATTAAAAATTATTAATTTGACATCTCATTGTCAAAATTTGTATTTATAAACCCATTGTATACACAGAAATCAGAGATGGAAACTTGTTTTTTTTTTATTCAGTGAAATTTGACAAATTTGAAATGGATAGTTTTATTTGAAATTAGTTTAATTTTACCATGATTTATAGTTCTGATTAATTCAAACTGCCACATATATTTAATTGACAACTAATATTGCCTATAGCGCCAAGGCCAATATTCGCCCTTAAAATCATTTCGACAATAATAATTGCAATTCCGCCTCGCCATGGCAACCCTGTGTCTCACATGAAATGCTCTTGGTACGAAATGTCTCACCATGAGATTCGAGCAAAGGTATTTGCCTACGTGAGCACATGTGTGTTTGTGAGTATGGATGGTATCGGTGAGTTTCATTGAGTTTCTGTGCGAGAGTGTTTGTGCTGATGTATGTGGCTGTTTGCTTGGCCGTTTTTGATGGTCTTTGCTTTGCTTTGCCTGCCTGCTTGCTTGCTTGCTGGTTGGTTGTTGTTGCTGCCATACACTCATTTGTGATTTCGTTAACATAACGTGTGATATTTGTTCCGTCTCCTACATTTAGTTTGTTATTGACTATCGGCGTGAACGCATCGTGCGCTCGTTGTTAACCATAACGTAATTGTAACGTGAACTCAACCAAACCAAAAGAAGAAAAAAGCAGACGGATTGGAAATAAACGTTTGTCTTGCAATCGTGGTTGTCGTATCGTCAGAGCCAGCCGTTCACCAATAAAACAGAAAAAAAAATAAAAGCAATTCAAAATAAATTTTCTTTTTTTGTGAAATTTTTTCGTTTTCAACATCGTCGTCGTCGGTAGGCTGTTTGTTGTTTCCATTTTTTCTAAATGTTGTTTTGATAACAAATTCAATAAAAAGAAATACAAATTGTTAAAAAAAAGTAAGTGAATTAAGAAAAATCGCTGAAAGGAGAAGAAATTGAAAAACCAGAAATAATTGTGAGCAAAAGTTGTAAAACTAAATGGAAAAAAATTTTTGAATTAGAAAAATAACAAAAATACTTAACTGTGACCAAAAATTAAAAAAAGAGGAATTTACCAATTATTAAACAGAAAACAAAAAAAATTGTTGTGAAAATTTTTTAAAACCTTCAAGTGCAAATTTTAAACAGTTTTTATTGTTAGCCAAAAAAATATAAAAATATTGAAATCATTTAAGAAATAAATATAAGTTGGTGTAATGAATTGTTAAAGAAATTTTTGAATAATATAGAAAAAAAAATAAATTGTTGTTGGAAAAAAGTGTTTCAAACCTCCCCCACCTCTCTCTACACACAAAACCGTTAAAATTCAAAAAGATACACAAAAAATGTTTGACCCTTTTGTGAAAATCAAGAAAAAGCCCAATAATACTAGCACCACCAACAACAACAATAATAATAATGCCAACAACAACACCGTTAACGGCAACAATAATTTAATAGTGCAAAGTTTAGAAGATAATTTCTTACCGAATTTAAATGACATCTCATCGGTGGATGCCGAATTGGATGATGATTGTTTTTGCCTTACACCGCCAGCCACCACACCCACAACGCCTACCCAACAACAACAACAACATAGCAGCAGTACAGCAACACCAGCACTAAGTGCTGCCTTGGCCCAACCTTCAACGTCCTCGGCGGCCGCCGCTGCTGCAGCTGCTTCAGCAAGCTATTCCGCAACAACGTCACCTGCTGCCTCGCCACTCAAGGATTTGACCTCTAGCAGTGCCACAAGCACCACCTGCAGTCGTTTACAGCAGCTAATTGCTGCACCGCCCATCATACAAACACCCCATTTGAGACAGCAGCAGCAATTATTATCTCCACCCACACCACCGCCCTCAACGCCACCAACACCTGCCTTGTTGCAACAACAACTGCAAAATAATTGTTCCCAACTACCCAGCACCTCCTCAGCCTCCTCCTCCTCCAAAACCGTTGCAACGCCATTACTGTCGCCAAACGCGGTACCGCAGCAACAGCCGACGTCGGTGTTGCAACAACATTTGGGCCATACCAACGCCAGCTCGCATGCTGCCGAGCAAGCAATAGTAGCTGCGGCCGCTGCTGCTATTGGCGGCTCACCTTCAAGACCCAACCTGCAAACCTTGGCCCAACATTTGGCCTCACCGCCCCAAAATCACCTGAATCAGTCATCTGCCAACGTTTCTGTCTCTGCGCCCACCTCACCTTTGTTGCAGGAAATTTTCAATTCAAATAATTTACAAAATGTATTAACCAGACAAAGTTCCTCAGCCAGCAACTCGAGTACAAATACAACAAATAGTAGTTCTACAACAACAACGTCGTCATCATCATCAGCAGCCTCCTCTCCATCATCTTCATCGTCCTCGGCCAATTCTACCCTAAGAAGTTTGGTTGCAAATCCTCCCGCATCGCTGATAACATCAAGTACAACTTTGAATAGTATTATTGCCAATCGTTTGAATTCCCCACCGAACGCAATCACAGGATCGTCGACGTCCTCGTCATCATCATCGCTGGCCTCAACATCAGGATCCTCCTCAACATCTACAAGTAATACCAGCTCTTCGTCGTCGTCCAACTCCTCCTCCTCCTCGTTTCAGCAGCAACATTCCGCTTTGACAAATTCAATAACGCATCGTATACATCAATCCATACGCCGGCATTTAAATCAGCAGAGTAATAGTTTAGCCACAAATTCCCAGCAACATAACGGCCACAATCAGCAACAACAACGGCTCTTGCAACATTCACAATACCAACAACAACAATATTCACAAAATCACCTGCAACAAGAACAGAGGCAACATCACTCATCGAGACATTCACACCAGCAGCAGCAGCATCATCATCACCACCATCAGCAACAACAATTGCCACAGTTCTCCGCTTCCGGTTCATTGGCAAATTCTTCTTCCGGTTCCGCATCGTCTGCCTCTTCTTCTTCTTCGTCGTCTTCATCGTCATCAAATTCCAATTCAAATTCACCCGTGTGTGTAGTATTATTGGTCAAATGTCCAAATTCAAAGGAATATTGTAATGCATTACAAGCCCACCAAAATCACAATCTAATACCTCCTGCAACATTACAACAATTACAACAACAACACCAGCATTGCTGTGATAATAAAAGGTAAATTAAAAAAAGTAATTATTTAATAAAAAAAAAACAATAAAGATCGAGTTGTAAATAGTCACCAAAAGGGATAACTGTTTCTCTCAATTGAACTTCCCAGCCCAGGCCAGTGTTTAGGGATATGTAAGTCGACTTTGGACTAAATGCGTTCTGTGATAAATTACTACAATTATAAGATTTTTATCGTGATGTGTAGAAGAAATAGATAAATAATTCAAATAAATAAATGTCTAGAAGTCACATGTGATGTTTGATGTTTAGATCATAAATACAAAGGATAAAATATTATTCTTTCCCAAAGGGACTTCCCATCAGAGGCCACTGTTTAGGGATACGTGAGTCGACTTTTGATCAATCGTTTTTTGGGCATTTCTCTGCTCTCAATTAGATGTCCTAAATCAAGTCAATGTTTAGAGATATGTAGGTCGACTTTTGGCAAATTTTCTTTTGTCATTGTAAAGTCCAAAAAAAACGTTTGGCATTGAAAAGCTTAAATTCAACTTTTCATGATCGATTTATTTTTCTTCGTTAAATTTTCCGACTTATACCACTTTAAGGAATACGTCAAACGACTTTCGATTAATGAACTTTTGGCGTTAAAAAGTGTAAATGTTGAAGTCGGCCCTTGGTTTTGGCAGAAATCGCAAGCTTAACCTTTCGTTATCGGTTTGAAATTACCGATTTTTGGTCTAAAAATCTAAATCAACTTTGGTTTGAAGTGTCAACATTTCAAAATATTTTTTATACAATATTTTTGGTCTGTTTATGTTCGACATTTGGAAGTGAATTCGAAAAAAAATTAATTTTAATTAATTTGAAAATACTCTACGAATTGATGTTTTTCTTTTAAATTCACTTTCTTGTCGTCATAAAAAACGGGCCTTTAATCTACATAAAAGTTATCAAAAACCGACATCGTTTGGAAAACCAAGATCAACAATGATTTTTAACTAATTGGACAGAAGCGAAAGATCGAAAGGTCGATTTTTTCCTGGAAGCAAAAGTTGAAAATCTAAAAGACCGCGGATTTTGTTGAAGATGAAATCAGTTGAAATTTTGCTCACAAGGGGATACGTTTTCCTTTTCATAATTGGATTTCTTAACTCAATCCGCTCTTCTGTTGTGAGAAATTCTGACATGTTTTTTTTTTTTTTTTTTTGTTTCAATTCACAATTTCACAATTCCAAAAATGGATTTCTCCTAGTTTTCAACACGAGTATCCTGAAAAAAAACGATAAATCTAAAAGACTGCGACCTAATGGTTTGTTGAAGAAGAATATGGAAATATTCTGTGAAAGGTACCAACTTAACTCGTTCCTTTGGTTCCAGACTTAACTTCATTCTCCTTTGTGATTCCTTCAAACCTTTGTTGTGAGTGAAGAAAATACACTTCATTCATTCGCCAAAAATATTTTTCTCGCATCATTTCTTTTGGTTTTACTTCCTACTTCATTCCCATTTGTGATTCTTGTAAACGTGTTTGTCTTAAGTAAAGAAAAAAAATTATTTTTGCATCTGTTTAAATTAAATTTCATATCAACGAGTGATTTTACTTAGATGACCGACGTAACAAAAAGTAACTGGTTCATAGTTCCTCTCAGTGAACTAGATTGACAAAATTCGCTGAGTGCACTGAATTTGCCCAACTCTGCTCAGTGAACTAGATTGACCAATTCCTATTTATTCAGTTATCAAGAACCACTTTCTTGCATTCGTTCTTAGATTCTAGATTTACTTCATTTTCTTTTAAGATTCTTGCAATATTTTTAGTTTTTAGTAAAGAAAATAATTTTTCTTTTATTAATCTTCACATTAACGATCAATTTTATTTTAATAAAAGTCGTAACAAAAAGGAACTAGTTTATAGATCCTCTCAGTGAACTAGATTGCCCAACTGCGCTCAGTGAACTAGATTGCCCAACTCCGCTGAGTGAATTAGAATGCTGAACTCTAGTTTATTTATTTGTCAGAAACCATTCCCTTGCATATCTCATGTCCTCTTTTCTTAATAAAATCAAAAAGTTAATTCCTTTTAACGAATTTAATATCGATACTTTCCAAAATGAATAAATATTTTTCCTCTCCCAATACGATTTCATAAAACCACTGTTCTGTTAAAGAAATCGGGTTAACTGTTGCTCCCCTTATTGGATTTTATTTTACTCTCCCAATTGCCAAAACGAGGAATTTCTCCCTGAGTTTCTTAACTGGACAAAACTCTCAAAACTCAACTCTCTTCCTCTCTACTCACTGAGAATAAACCATAGCAGTTTCCAACTACTCTTATTACAATTTACAATAACACGAATGAACGACCAACGTTCGCCGTACAAACTATGACAGCAGCAGCAACAACTTGTCGGTGGACACACGATTTCACGAGCACATGGTTGTTGGCTGACTGGCTGACTGGTTGGTTTGTTGCTACATGCCTTCATCGTCTTCCTTTTTGCAAATGTTGCCACCAACCGCAGCCAACATCATTCGGTACTTGTTTTAGTTTATCTGCTGTCGATGGCATGGCAGGCTGCTGCCTGGGTGTGTTGGAGTATATTTCTGCTTCTTCATCTCGTTGCTTCGTTTGGTTTTTTTTTTTCTTATTTTGCCTAAATAAAGGTGACACACTTTTTCCTTTTCGTTCGTTGTTGTTGTTGTTTTCTTCAATTTGTTACTTTTCCTTCTGCTCTTGCAACAGAAACAAAAAAAAAAACGACAACAACACCATGCCGTTCGTTCTCTTGACTCTCCAAGCAAAATGCCTTTGTTTCCTGCTACCAAATGGATGGCGGCGGCGGCGTTGTGCTGATGATGTTTAGTTGCTGCCGCGCGCGTATTTAGATTAATTTGTTGAATAGATTTTTTCCTTCAATTGTATATCTCCAAGTGAGTGTGTGTGTGTGTGTGTAACGCATGAAAGTGTGCACAAATTTAATAACATTTTGTATCCTTTTTCCCAACGACTACTACTACTACTGCTGCTGCCGCTGCTGTTCTGTGACCTCTTTTGTTACCATTTTTTCACTCTGTGCTTTCTTTTTGATGTTTTGAGGTTGTGAGGTCATAGTTATCTTGTATATGTCAATCTCTCTTGCCGTATATATGTGTATGCAAGTTTTCTAATTAGAATTTTTTGGGTTTACTTCCTAGCATAACATTTAGCCTTAATGGTTGATTGTTTCGAAGGAAGTTAACGAAAAAAAAGAAAGAGAAATGAGGACAACCAAACCAAATAAAAAAAAAACCAACAACTAGGCGTCACATCATCATCAACATCTGCATGGTGTGCCTTGTTTATGTTTTATGTGTCAACATAAGGCGTGTATTATTGGTATTACTTACTTACATAAGGACGTGTGGCGGCGCATGACCAATTTTGGTCATTACAAACATTGGGTAAAGGAATTGGGCGATTTTACTAAATTTAAATGAAAATTAGTATAAAAAATTGATATTGAAGTAGAAAAAGAGGGTTTTCACCTCGAGTGCTGGAAACTTTCAAAGCAAATGAGGTGAAAAATGGGAAATTGAATTTTCTTATACATTTTTTTTAGAAAATAAAAAATCTCTATAAAATATTTGCTAGTGATTTTCGTTTCTAAATGGAATTTAGTTTCTCAACAAAGTTGATCTATAAATGTGTGAATTTTGAAAGGAGTTTGGAAATTTAAATTTTCTTTTATTTACATTTATTTGTAATTTTGTAAATTTAAACTTGTAATTTTGACCATAGCATATAAACGTCATTTAATTGTTTTTGTTACATATTTGAAAATAATCCAAAACAATAATGTCGTTTCATCGTTTCATACCTTTAATGTTGCTGCACGTCAAATTGGCCAAAAATATTTCATTGAGGCGTAATTTTAGACATCATGTCATGTGAACCTCCCTTCAAATTGTTCTGTAACCATGTTTGCTGGAATTTAGAATTCCATATAACTTATTTCACAATTGTTACATGTGATCCCCTCTTGATATTGCTCTTTGACACTTGTATCACCAATTTATAACAATAAAAAAATATAAGTGATAGCGATCCTTTAATGGTGACGTACGACATTAGTTCAGGAGCTATGTGAAACATCTCAATTGTTGTTTAGACTACATGCACAAATGTATTACCATAACTTTAGTCACGGCAATATCTATTTGTTTCGTTAATGTTGACGTACGACAAATTGACCACCAATTTACTGCAAATAAACTACATACAGCAAAACCGCCATGAATATAAGTCTACGACACATTTATATATGCTTTATAGAACAGCAATCCTGGCCTATGCTAAATAATTAATAAGAACTCCTTTAATTTTCCCGTATGACATTCAATTTTATTTTATGTGAACATTCCTTACTTGTGCTTTACGATACGATACCACTAATTCTTTACAATAACTGTACGGTAGTGCCACAAAAATACTTGTTGCTTCTTCAACTAGTTGTTCCTTAAATGTGGACGTACGACTCATATTTACCACATACCTTTAGACATTATTTTTTATCAAACCGCCATTAATATTAACCTACGGCACATTTATGGATACTTTAAAAAAAAACGATATTGACTATATGTTCCTTTTATTTTGCCGTATGGCATTTGATTTTATTTTAGTGCTCTTCGATACGATTAATCCGTTATAATAATGGTACGATAGAGTCACAGCAATACTTGGTGATTCTGCAATGAGGACGTGCGTCAACCTGTAGTGACAAACTATACTTTTTTGGGGGTTTCAATGTTAATAATAGTTAGTTTTCTCTAAATTGTCACCATTACATGTGAAGGACACTTAATGTTGAACTTCTAATTTGAAAGTGTTATACAGTTCTCATTAATCCTTTAATTATGCCCTGTGGCGTTAATATCTCAAATGTAGATTTTCTAATTTTAAAACCGTTACATCGGCTCAGTTGTGTGTGAAGTTCTCTTTACTCCTATAATAATGTCCTGCGGCATTAATATCACACTTATAGAGGTTCTAATTCGAAACCGTT